AGTGAAAACATGTGGTATTTGGTTTTCTGTTTCTGAGTTAGTTTGCTGAGGGTAACTTCAGCATCCATGTCCCTGCAAAGGGAATGATCTCATCCTGTTTACGTCTTCATAGTATTCCACAGTGTCTATGTACCACGTTTCCTTTATCCAGCCTATCAGTGGTGGGTATTTGGGTTAATTCTATGTCTTTGCTATTGTGAATAGTGCAGCAATGAACATATGTGTGCATGTATCTTTAAAATACAATAATTTATATTCTTTGGGTATATACTCAGTAATGGGATTATAGCAATATTAACCTTAAGTGTAAATGGGCTAAATGCCACAATTAAAAAATACAGAATGGCAAGCTGGATTAAGAGTCAGGACCCATCAGCACGCTGTACGCAAGAGATCCATTTCATGTGCAAAGACACACATAGGCTCAAAATAAATAGATAGAGGAAAAGTTACGAAGCAAATAGCAGAAAAAAGCATATCTTGCTATCCTAGTTTCTGACAAAACAGACTTTAAACCAAAAAGATCAAGAAAGATAAAGAAGGCCATTATATAATGGTAAAGGGTTCAATTCAACAAGAAGAGCTAACTGTCCTAAATATATATGCACCCAATACAAAAGCACCCAGACTCATGAGGCAAGTTCTTAGAGGCCTACAAAGAGACTTAAGACTCCCACACAATAATATTGGGAGATTTTAACACACCACTGTCAATATTACACAGATCATCAAAATAGAAAATTAACAACAATGTTCAGGACTTGAACTCAGATCTGGATCAAGTAGATTCGACAGGTATCTGCATAATTCCCCACCCAGAAACAATGGAATATACATTATTCTTGGCACCACGTGGCAGTTACTCTAAAATCAATCATAGAATTGGAAGTAAAACACTCCTCAGGAAATGCAAAAGAACTGAAATTATAATAAGCAGTGTCTGAGACCACAGCGCAATCAAATCAGAACTCAGGATTAAGAATCTCACTTAAAACCCCACAACTATAAGGAAATTGAACAACCCGCTCTTGAATAACTTCTGGGTAAGTAATGAAATTAAGGTGGAAATCAAGAAGTTTTTTCAAACCAATGAGAACAAAAAGACAATGTAGCAGAATCTCTGGGATGCAGCTAAAGTATTGCCAAGAGGGAAATTTAAAGGACTAAATCCTCACATCATAGAGCTTGAAAGTCCTCAATTTCACGTAAACATCACAACGAAATGATCTAGAGAACCAAGTGCAAACAAACTCCAAAGCTAGAAGAAAACAAGAAGTAACCAAGATTAGAGTGGTGCTGAAGGAGATAGAGACATGAAAAATTATTCAAAAAAACAACAAATCCAGGAGCTGTTTCTTGAAAAAATAAAGTAAAATAAACAGCTGCCTAGACTAACAAAGAGGAAAAGAGAAGAATCAAATAGATACATTAAAAAATGATAAAGGAGATATCCCCACTCACTCCATAGAAATACAAACCACCATCAGAGAATGTTATAAACACCTCTATGCAAATAAACTAGAAAATCTAGAAGAAATGGATAAATTCCTTTACACATACACCCACCCAAGGATGAACCGAGAAAAAGATGAGACCAATATCAATTCTGAAATTGAGTCAGTAATAAATATCCTACCAACCAATCAAAAAAAAAAAAAAAAAAAAAAGCCCAGGATTAGATGGATTCACAGCTGCGTGTTTTTCTCCAATCTCTATGGATATCAGTTGCTTCCTTGATTAGTTCCAGTTCAAGTACCGGGATATTTCAGCTGAAGATGCTGTATTTACTTGCTCTATCTGTTTCTCTAGAAGAAATGCATATTAGCTGCTTCTACTTGGCCGTCTTGGTCACTCCCGCACTTGTAATAATTTTCAAGAGTGTATCTCATATTAGGTGATTTTGCTAATACAAGAAATACTTTTGAGATGTTGCAGACTTCGTTCCAGACTACTACAATAAAGCAAAACATGCAATAAGGTGAGTCTCACCATTTGCTTTGGTTTCTCTGGCACAGAAAAGTTACGTTTACACAATGCTGCCGTCCATTAATTCTGCAGGAGTATTAAATCCAAAAAAAGTACACGTCTTAATTAAAAACACTTCATTGCTAAAAAGTGATAACACTCATCTGAGCCTTCAGTGAGTTGTAAATTTGTTGCTAGGGGAGAGTCTTTCTTGCATCAGTGTTGATGGCTGCTAACTCATCAGAGTAGTGGCTGCGAGTAGTTGGCATGGCTGTGGCACTTTCTTAAAAGTAAGAAAACAACAGCAGGTGCCACATCCACTAACCTTTCTTTTTCACAAAATATTTCTGTTTAACATGCATTGTTGTTTGATAGCAATTTTCCCATGGTGGTTCTTCTTTCAAATTTGGAATCAAACATCTGAAAGTGTAATGCTGCTTTATTAACTAAGTTTAAGACATATTCTAAATTCATTGTTATCATTTCAACAATGTTTACATATTCTTCACCAGGAGCAGATCCATATCAAGAAACAACTTTCTTTGCTCTTCCATAGGAAGCAACCCCTCATGTATTTGTTTTATCACGAGATTGCAGCAATGTAGTTACATCTTCAAGTTTCACTTCTCATTTGAGTTATCTTTCTATTTCCACCATATTTGTCATTATTTCCCCCACTGGATTCCTTGTTATAGGGCCAACAGTTTCATATGCCCACTCTTCAATATTAGACCAATTACAATGAGACATTATATTTTGCAGCAAATAAAAAGTTTA